CCTCGATGTAATGTTCCGATCCCTCCGAGCCATGTTGTTTCTATGATCTAATTAACGTCCCTTGCAGATCGTCGAGATATCGGGATTAGTCTGGAAGGGATGCCAGTATAATACAGGTTTAAATTATCATACATGATTCTTTTATTTGTGAAGAGACTGGGAGCCTGGCTTTCAGGAAATAGGAAAGAAGAAAACAGAAAACAAAAGAAGAAAGAAAGAAAAACTGAGTGAAAGTCTAATCAAAAGAGGCAATGGTCCTCCTGTTTTGATATATGTAACAATTATTACATTACATTATGTGTATAATAGAGGCATCTATCTGGTGGGGCATTTGCTTTTGATGTCCCTAAATTTGGATAATTGTGATTTTTGAATTTCCATTCAATGAAGGAAAATGTTCTTTTGATGTTTTAGCAGAATCTTTCGTTTTGATTTGTTGTTCTGGTCTGGCATTTAATGTCTTTGATTATGTCATTTTCTTTTCTGCATAGGAAAGTTTGTCCATCTGTATTCCTCTTTTCTTGGGATATATCAAAAGACAAAACGGAATTAGAAGGATGAAAAAGCAGATGTCTTTGATGGGGTTGTCTTATGGTTGAAATGGGACGGTGTTCAAACTCTCAAAATACAATTAACCTACACAATCAATTCTATCAGATAAAAGAAGAAAACTAAGAAGGATAGATCTACAATGAAGGAGAATAGTTTTCCTTTGAAATGGAGAAGAAGGGTGATGGTATTTTTGGTGGGTTGATTCTATTAATAAAGACAGAGGGTTTTGGATTGAGAAGTTGGGAAATGGGGTAATTTGAGGGTGGCCAAATTGGGCATTAAATGAAAAAGTGTATTTGCAATTGCATGCAGCTGTCAAGTCTCAAGGCCAAGGGAAAGAAGGGGGTGGTTGAGCTTTGCCTTTCAACTTACCCTACACAAATAATACACACATGCACTTTCCAATTACTTGTATGAAAACTTCTTCAAATCAATTCCCCAAAACTTCCAAATTCACTTTCCATTATGAATCATCATGCTATTATTATGTGGGGTAACTTGTATGACATGAGCTAGTACATACCCTTATATTTTACTCTTTTTCTTTTCTTTTTTTTTTTGGGTTAGTTCAACGATGTGGCTGCTGGGTTCTCGAACATATGACGACATTTTGGTCGAGGATATATATGCGTTAATCGGTTAGCTTTGCTCATGTTGACCATTATATTTTACCTTGGTAAGTATGTATTATTTATCTCTATGTTTTCTTTCTGTGACAGAGAAAAGGGAGAATTCGTGTTTATGGTGTACCTTCTAATTTAAAGACTTTATTTTTAAGAGATTGTTTTTCTTTAAAAATACTTTTTGTTAAAGTGGTTTTAATTAGAATACTAGTGTGATTGGTTATATTTTCTTATGGTAGGTTTTAGTCTTATTGTTGCACTACATCTAAAAGTCATTCTACACATGTCAAATTATATTATAAAGTGCTTCTCAGTTAATCACTTTATAATTATTAGTTACATAATCCACTTTAATTTAATATAGTTCTTTAGAGAAAATGATTTCAAATCAATTTAAATGTGATTTTAATTTGTTACCAAACATGGTATATTTTAAAAAATATATATAGGTACTTTTAGTCCCTAAACTTTGAATGCAAATTTAAGTATAAAAKAGTGAATTGACACTTATTACCCTTCCCTAAGTTGAAGGTTCGATTTCACACCCCATCCTTGCTAAACTCAGAAAAAATAAAATAATACTCTTAAACTTGAATTAAGGAGTGAAATTAATATCTTGATGAAGATTTGTATTAACTACTTTGGCATTATTGTTATGGGAGGAAGATATTTTTTAGAATATTGGTTCTTTTGGTTGTGTCACATACTTTTTTAGCTAGATTTAAATGTTTTATTACTAAGTTTGAGCGTCTCTACATCTACCTAGTTTTATGGCTAGGTTGTGTTGGGACATTTTTATGACATGATTTGAGTATTTTGTCACTTAAATTTTGTGTGATTTCTTATTTGGTTCACCTTTAATTTTCCAATTTGATTTCGATGAGGTATTGATTATACCACTTATTCAACTTAAAGGATTCGTTCCATAAAAATAAAATTTTTAAGTAAAAATTTGTTCATAATATTTATTCATTTTGAATGGTCTGGAAGCTTTATTCGAGAATAACTATGAAACAAATCTCTTATAGACAAAATACTAACATTTCTTGTCAACCTAAACATAACTCAAACATATATCATGAAACTAAAAAATTACATATTTAAACCTAACTTCATTCAAAGGAAAAAAAAAAATTATAAAGTGGTAGGCACAGTAGTATTTGTATGAAATTACCGTTGCTATTTAAACATTTCTTAATTTCCAACTTTGGTTTTTATGTTGATAATGATGAAAAAATACTGTGATCTAAAATATAAGGATTCATAATTTAAACAAAAAAAATGTAGCAAATTATACATATCCAGAAAATCTTAGAAGTGGGCGACAACTACTATAATTTACTCTATTTGTGCATTAGCGTGCTTTCAGTTCAACATGGATAAGTAATGTCTTTTAACCAAAGTTCAAAATGTCGATATCGATGGAAATGTCGAGGTCCCGATTTTACGGATATGTCGATGGACATGTCGATATCGATGGATATTTCGGAAAAAAATATGGAAATTGTGGATATTTATGCAAATTTTTTGAATTATTAAAAAAAACTTTAATGGTAGCTTAATTAGCTCATAATGATTCAATTTTGATCATCATATCTAAATGTATCAATAATAGACTTATGAAAATGTTGTTGTGATGATACCGTGAGAACAAAATCATGTATATACTTACATGTAAATTATTTGAATTAGTAAATTAGAGTTATTGTTGATTGATTATGTTCTATCAATAATTTCTAATCAAATCTAATATTTAGTTCAATAATTAAACAAGATTGAAATATGTATAAAATTTATTATATACCAATAGTGGTGGTATAATTTAACTAATACCAAACATGATCTTTTATTTTAATTCAAATAAACATATAATCTTAAGCCAAATTTGAAAGGGAAAGATTTGATTTTTGTTAGTCAGATTTACTTATTTGCTACGAGGTTGGCCTTATAAGAGATAAAAAGATAGAAACAAACACTACTAAATTTGGGGCTTTTGTGATGCTAAATTAATGAAAACAACAAGAAAAACATCACAAAAGGTAAAAAAAAAAACGCGTTTTAGTTGGGAAAAAAAATCAATTCCTACGTTATCTCAACCAAACAAACTATACATATATTTTCAAATTATTTAATCGAAATATCCATCGACACCACTAGTGAGTATATCTTTTCAAATTATTAAAAAAAATCAATTTATAGATTATAAGTAAAAAAACAACATTTCGTCGACATGTCGTCGACACTGGGAGAAAAACGACATTCTCCCCGTGTCGATGTCGAGGTACTCGACATGTCGACGTGTCGCTTGAAATTTGAAACTCTACCTTTAACTAATTGAACCACGCTTAAATCATGTTATTATTGAATATTTGAGAAACGCGATTTTTTTTTTTTATTAAAAGAAGTCATTTTTACTCATATACTTACCTAACTTGACCACAAAACTAAACATGGAAAAGAAGTACTCCAACTCAACACTAAAAGGTTAAAACCTAGCCAAAAATTAATTCTCCAACAAATTAGGAAAACCAATAGAAAAAGAATAGTTTCCCATGCAACATGTGGGGTGAATCAAATACACGACCTTTTGATCGAAAATGCATGTCTTAACTAGTTGAACTAAATTCATAACTATTACTTTCACCTGTATCCCCTTGTTTTGCTGTTTTGCTTTTTAACTTTGTCTAAGAATTCAAATGTGTTTTTAAGGAACGTGAAAGCACGCCAAAGAAATTGTGAGTAAATAATTGCATAATTTTAAAAAATTGAAAACTAAAAATGATCTGAAAGTAATAATTTCACTGTGGATTTAAGTTTAAGGTTAAAATTGAGCCAAATACATGTAAAAATTTGAACTTTTCCCACTTTCTTTTCATTTTTTTCTTTTTATTTTTTCTTTTTTCCTTCCCACTTGATGTAGTATATAAGAAAAGACTACATTATGCAAACTTTCCATCCTCTCTCCCTCTCTCTCTCTCAAGAAATGGGAAGAACATCATCATGTTGTTCCAATGGAGGCTTACACAAAGGGCCATGGACAGCAAGAGAAGATGCATTGCTTGTCAACTACATTCAACAACATGGTGAAGGCCATTGGAGATCTTTGCCAAAGAAAGCTGGTCATTCTTCAATCCTTTTTTTCTCTTCTTATTCATTCTCTATTCACTGAATTTCTTTCCATTCCTCTCTTATATCTACTCACAATTCAGGTCTACTTCGATGTGGAAAGAGTTGTCGACTGAGATGGATGAACTATCTCCGACCCGACATTAAACGCGGCAACATCACCGCCGATGAGGATGACCTCATTATAAAACTCCACTCCCTCCTCGGCAACCGTTGGTCTCTCATTGCCGGTAGGCTCCCAGGCCGAACGGACAACGAGATCAAAAACTACTGGAACTCCCATCTTAGCAAGAGGCTGGCTGTAACAGCAACAGAAAACACAAGAAATCAAGCAAGGAAGGAGAGGATTACAATCCCTTCAAACTCCGAAAATGGAGAGTCGTCAAAGACAACAAAACCGACCCGAGTTTCATCGTTTTGCGACGAGGATAACTCGAGCAGTGGCGTGGCAAGTGCGCTTCCATTGTCGTCGGGAAATCCTGGAGGAGGAGGCGGCGGGGGCGGAGCCGAGATTGAATTGGCGGCGAAGGGAGAAGAAGAGAAGATAGAAAGTGGAGATCTTTTTGGTGGGTGTGAGATTTTGTATGGAGGGTCATGGAATTGTTCTGCCAATGGTGAGATGATTGATGAGGTTGAAGATGATTCTTATCAGCAACTATTCAACCTCCAAGGAGAAGACTACATTCAATTAGACTCCTTCATTGATTACTTCTTAATCTGAGTATATTTTTTTACATCTCTCTCTCCTCTCTCTCTTTCTCTCTCTACTGTATATTTCAATCTTATATGCATTGCAGGTTCTGCTTCCATTAATGAAATATGTATGCCATGTATGGTTTTTTTGTTTCCAGATATAAAATTCTGTTGTTTAGAAATTATTTGGAAGCTCCTTTTAGATTTTTAGAAAAATGATTCCTTAATTACTGAAATCTTTTTAATTAAAAACTGATTTTAAGAGACCAGGGAAAAGAAAAAATTAGATTGAAATCAACTTTTAGAATAAGTTTGCAGAGTATTATAATCTCTTAAGAATAATTTTTGTAAATTTTGAAAACGTCAAAATCTACTAGTTTTTTGTTTCTAATTCACATTTTACAATTTTTCAAAAATATTGAGTAAAATCATTATTTTATCATTTTTAATTAAGAAAAATCCATAACAAAAATTTGAAATGATTATTTTATTTAAAAATTTAATTTTCATCCAATTGATTTTACAGTTAAGAGAACAATAGATTATATAGGGTTACAGACATGTTCCTGATTTTTTTTTTAAACAAACAGACAACAATTATTAAACATAGTTTTTTTTTTCTTCCTTGAAAAAAGGAAAGCAACATGAGACCAAAAAAAAAAACAAACAAACAAGAAACAAATCACTACTTTTTCAATTTTTTTGTCATTTACTATTTTTGCACTGTCTTAATCAAATACCTAATGTTTGAGAGAGTTTCTTAAATCCGTGTTCTGTAGCACCAACGAAATAGCCGTTCTTGTTCTTTTTTTAACTAATAAGGAAAAAATGAAAGAAAGAAAGAAAGAAATAGCCAACTTTTTACTCTTAAGATTGAAAATCAAATATAAAAGAATTACAAATATAAAAATACCAACAACCAGCCATCAATTACTTCTTGGCTCCTCAAATCAATGAGCAATAATAAGTGAAAGTCTAAACTCTATAGGCTTCTATACAAATTTTCTAGTAGTGAATATAATTCATGTAAGGAGATGCCAGACATGAAGACAGAATTCAAAAAGGCCATAAATCACCCCAAACTGACCTTCGAGCTTGATGGTGTAAAGTAGGATTCTTACTTTGTGTGACAACAATTCGCTCGAACGAGCCCTCCGAGGCATCCCGCTTTGTTGATCGACAAATATCCATCGAGACGTGCCTGCCCCTTCGTATTGGCGAAAATACAATCCTGCCCCAACCACCACCAAGATCAGCAAGCACAGATTCCCCTTGTTCTTCTTCCTCTTCTTCTCCATCATCAAAATTTTCAGTTTCGATAACATCAGAGTCATAAGTAACTGGATCCACTTCTTGGTATGGAACAATGTCTTGTGTGTTCAACTTTATTAGGTCCTCTGCCATAGTCAAGTAAGGAGTGATGACGGTTTTAGTTAAATTGTAGCCAATGGAGATCAGTTTGAAGATTTTTGTTGCCATTCCAACTTACTGGCAGGGTTAGAAAGAAATGAAAGACATTATATTTTATTTAATGTTTACCATAGTCGATCTCTAGATCTTCTGGATTTCTTTTGGCATGCTGTTCCTTTAGCGTCTCAAACTTCATGCCATCAAGAGGCCATGGTTCCCTGAATAAATCAAAGCAATGAAGTGAAAACACGGTTGTTTTATTGAGAGTCTACATATAAATATCAAGATGAAGATATGACGTTGGAGAAGTAATAAAAATACATAAACTGCCAACAATCAACACAATATCACTTGAACAATTCTATTATTCTTCAAAGAATTGAGACCTCAAAACTTTGAGAATTTGAAAAGAATATAAATGAACTCACCGAGGACGCTGTCCACGCCTGAAAGCAACAAAAGAAAATTTCTCATCCTCAAAGCCTCTTAGAGATTCACCCTTGGAACGCTACACGTAAAAAAATGGGTAAATGATAATAAGCAAAGATATTTTAGGTCGATTTAGGGGGTGCAAGCAAATTCATCAAGACGACATTCAAGATCTACCATAAAAAGATGTGAAAAATCAGTTTTTCTCCCAAAATATCTTCTGCTAACTTTTTTTTTTAAAGAACTCTACATTTAGACTTGAATGAATTAAAATGTTCTCAGGAATTTCTTCAACAGTAACCATGACTAACCATACAAGTCATAACGTAGTATATATTATGATATGCTCATTTTATGTGTTTAAATACTACTCTTTTGGATGATCATTAGGAATTGGCTATCATATAAATTTAACACCGAGTGGTATATGCCACAAGCAAAAAAATTCCATCTTCCCCAAGGAATTTCAGGCAAGCACTTCAATAGACTGTAGTAATATTCAAAAAACAGAGAAATTGAACACATAACAACTCTTCTTGTTCAAAAAGGATGAAATACCAATCATACAGACTAGAACTAAATGATATTGACACATAGAAAGAAATTATATGAATTTTTTTTTATATCCATGGTTTTTGGACCAACTTGCAGACACCTAAACTATTTTCATGAGAAAACTGCTTGATCGTATCGTACTACGTATGGTTTGCCAAGATAACTCATAGGATATTAGGTGGCCAACTCCAAACCCTTTACTATTTACCTTGGCCCATAATGGTTATGATATGAAAGAAAATTAAAATATAAAAAAAATAAAAAAGCTACAACAAAAAAATAAATATGAAACTAGAAAATGTGTAACATCTATGGAATAATATACTGAATGTTAGTATATGCCTTCTAATTTCCCATCAATTTTAACATGACATACAGCTCGCAACATGAGTGCTAAGGTGAAATGGAGTTGAATGCTAAGAAGATGAACCTTGTAAGCTCGTTGTGTTGATGTCCTCTCCAATCGCTGAACGAAATGACAATACTTTCCAGAGTTCTCTAGTGGACATTTTCCATCATGGGGACACTGCTTAGAAAGATAGATGAAAAACAGAGTGTTAGGCTGATTATTACCAGGGAAAATTTTTCTATACAAATCAAGGAGGCCACCAAGACTGCCAAGTGAGGAGAAGTACTGCAAAATTGTAAAAATAAAAGAACAGAGAAAGAACCTGTTATACTCACAGGAGCAACTACATAAGCACCGCACTTTTGAGTTACCAAGTCCTTACAAGCTATATTGTTGTTGTTCTCATATTTATGCCATTTCTATATATCAGAAGAAAACACAATCATTAATGAGAAAAAGTGCTCCACTTTCAAATAGATACAATAAAGAATCAACTTACCCTTTTTTCCATCCACAATATATGGGATCGCATTTGAGATATGATATTAGATCCATGTGGTGTTCCAGGTTCAACTAAGACCTACATCACATTCGTATTTCTTAAACTACATTAAGGAATAATTACACAGAAGATGGCAAATGGCCAAAAAAGAACTGGTGAAATGGGATAATTTAGGCTTGTGCAAATCAATTTTCAGAGAAAGAAAAATAAGGAAAAAAAAAAAGTCAGTGCAACTTATTTAGGTATTTCAGAGTTGCAATATGGTACTGTAGGAAAAAGATCGCCAAAATTTCTTATTGTTACTTCTGTATTAATCATGCAGTCATAGATAATAGGGCCACAACAGGATATCATGAGAGCTTGTTAGACATGAAATCCAGAGCTAAAATATTTACCAGAACATCTTTCGTAAGATTCCAAAGCTGGCGCACTATGGTCACCCTGTCCTTCAGTGATGGTATCTCTCCGAGTACATAAGACTTGGTCCCACGGCATGTAAAATGAATCATCAATTAGTACTCTGATATAACAGCTAAATTACCATATATTTTTCATACTTGCAGAGGTTTGAGAGTTTGTATGCAGAAGAAAAAGGGAAAAGAAGAGAAGACAGAAGCCAGGAGCTCCTTAAAATTTTTTAAAGTGTTACTTACAGCAATGACAAGGTCATGTTCTCTCTCTGACTTACTAATATCTTTGTTAAGCGCCTGAATGCTGTCATAACCATGAATAAGTGGCAAGTTCTTTAGGCCTAAAACAAATGCAACATGTAAATCTTGTTGTTTTTATGAGTACTAAAGCAAGTCTATCACAATAAGGAATGTACATGGATTATTTCTTCCATGGAGCCAACTAATTTTTGGAAATTTTAAGTTCAAATACAGAGGGGTCAATATATTTTTCAGATATAATTTTAACAATGTGAATATGGCAATAGTTAACCTGAATAAGTTGTTTTCTGATGATCGGATCAGAATAAAAATTGGTCTCTCGGAATATTAACTTAATTCACTCCTAATTACTGGTTCAAAATCACAACTCGCAGCAAGAAAAATGCAAATTCCTCAATACCTTGTATCAGACTCCGTCCAGCACGTTGCATTGATTGGGATGGTTCTACTAAATTAACTTTCTCTATAGAATGGGGCCAGACTTCTCGCAGAGCCCTAGAAATTTGAATTCAAATTACAAAGTAATTAGCTATTCTACTTCAAACAAATGAATTAGCCTGTTATACACAGCATACAAATTATTACCAGAAAGCTGAACCAGTGCCAGCACCGAAATCCAATACATTAGATGGAGAGAAATCAGGTAGTCTTCTACGAACCTAAGTATATAACATGTAAAAATATCATCAAAAAATTATTCCCAAATGTAAAAATCAACCTGACATAAACCCCGAACCAGGTCAAACTTCAGATGCTCGTAATAATATGTATCATCACAATCACCATACGGAGACGACTGTAGAAAACAGGAAGCTTCCCGAGATTATCACGTAAGTTTCACTAATAACATGACTTAGTCCTAAATCCATTACGTATTGCATAATTACCGTATGCACGTTAATTCTTTGCACTAAGCATTACACCATACTAAAATGCACTCCCGTATACCATCCTTTAAGCTGTCTTATTTCTTGCAACTCCAGTTCATTTCTCAAGTTTCTGAAGATGACAGAGAGCCAACTTAATCATTTAGTCAGTATGCAGAAACCTGTTATACCTCGTTAAGAACTCTGTAGCACGCAGAAAAGACAGCAGGCATCCGGGAGGCGACGTAAGCAATCGTCTCGTCGTCCCTGTATTGAAAGCCAATATCACCGTAGCAGCTCTTAATCTTCCAGCGCTTGGATTGCTCTACGGATTTCAAAGGATCTTCAACAAGCTCCTTGGAAGTGGTCGCTGCCAGCTGCAGATTAACATCCTTGATGCCACTGAATGATTCAGACAGCCTCAGCACCTTCCTCTTCAAATGAGGTACTTCTTGCTCTGAAATGCACAGACAACACCGCAGAGTCAGGCATAAAGACATCAACAAAGAAATAAACATACTCAAACAGCTACGATAGAGAAACGAATTCGGGGAAGTGAAACCTCGAAGGTACTTCTTAATGGCGCGGCGGAGGCGGACTGGGACAACGAGGCATCGTTGTGATTGCTTGGCGGCAGAACGGAGGAGCTCCGGAGTGATGATTTTTTGGGATGTTTCTTGAACTAGGGACGCCATTGCAGAACGGAGGAGCTCCGGAGTGATGATTCTTTGCGCTGACTTATGGGTTTTTAGGGCTGTCGAGTCGGTAAATTAGTATATAGGAGCATAATTTTTTTTTGTTTTCTTCTTTTTTTTTTTTTGGGAAAACAATTTTTAAGCATAATTTGTGACTAAATTTGATAACTATTTTATTTTTTATTTTCGGAATTCGATTTAAAAATTGCACTTATAAATACTACTCTCATTTCGGGTGTTCGATATTTACATATACATTTTTCAAATATTTAAAAAATTTAAGACAAAATTTTAAAACTGAAAATAGAAGTTTTCAAACTTTTATTTTCATTTTTGGAATTTGACTAAAATATTAAATGTATTTTCAATAAATGTGAAAATACACTGAACGATGAGTAAAAACAAAAACCTACACAATAAACATCTATCAAATGGGGGCATAAAATTTCATTTGTTTCAAATTATACTTTACCTTAAAATCTTTTAAAGTATTGTAAATCTTATTTAGGACAGATTTTGATTTTCATTTGACAAATTATCATGTGCATCAAATGGTTTAAAGTATTTTAATATATATATATATATATATATATATATATATTTAGTATGAAATTGATAAGATTCAGGAAAAAAAACACGACACTATAACTTTTTTCTTTTAATTTGTAAGTTTTAGTATAGTTATTTAATAGTCGACCTTGTGCATTAATTAAACAAAATTTTGTGTAAGTTTGATTTTCACTAAATTAATTATTTTTTTGGAGTTCTTTTATATTAGTTCAATTTATGAAATTTAAAGTTTAGGGTAATAATTTATCTCAGGTCAAATTTGATTCTCCTTTTATTTTTCTTAATTAAACATAAATTCTTTTAGTACAACAATTGTGGAGATTCAAACTCATGACCTATTGATCGACTAATTAAACTCACGTCGATGAATTAAACGTAAAATTGAAATATGGTTCTATTCAACACAAAATTCATGCATATGAATTTTCAAATTAATTTTTTTAGAGATTATTTGAAATAGTTTTCTATTTAAATTGAATTATAAGTTTAATCCATAATGTTTAATTTTCTTTTGGTTCCCTAAATTTAATATAAAAAAATTAATTACAACTTGCTTTTTTTTTTATTTCAATTACATCTTGCCTTTAAACCATTCTGTGTAGCTAATCAAATGGTAACTTAATATATCTTCCTATGATAAAAAAAAAATTTGGTTAATTTAGTACGACATTGATAAAAGGAATTTGATCGTTGAAACGAATTGGAATCCACGACGAAAAAGACAAACGATCGAGAAAGAAAGACTCCACGTTCTCCAAGAAATTTAACTAAAAAAATTGGTTATTTCCCCAAACTATTCCCTTTCTTATGCTTTCTTTCTATCACAATATGTTCTACAAATCTATTAAATAGACATGTTACAACATAATTTAAGTAATTAATTAATTTTTTATTTCTATAAAAAGAAATATATTATAAACTTTAAATAGGGCTTCTCCGTCCCTTTTAGAATCCTCAGTTCCACGTATAATTTTGCAGGGGTATTTTTAGTGGTTGGCAACGATATTTGTCATATTATATTTGTAAACATGGTTAACAATTTCTTTTGTTCTGCAAATATAGCCAAATTTCAAATATATCATTATAGTTAAAAAAATAAAAAATAAAATAAAATGGAACTGGAGGCCAATCCAAATAAAATAGAAAAGTTAAAGTTAGTTAATATACTGGATACTAGATGTATCAATTATATTAGGTATACCTACAATAAAGTATATCATTGATATTTAATGTGACTAATATACTTCATATGAGGTATTAAGGATGTATATTGGAGGCCGAAAAATCAATAAGAATGATCGAAATGGATCGAATCGATGTCGGTCGGTCAGTTTCACCACCCTGTTATCAATGATTGGTTTGGACAATTCCCAAACTGTTGGCCAATTGGTTGACCAGGGTAACAATGCGAGACCAATGAAAAATTCTAGTCTCGTGTGCAATACACTCCCTCCCAACTGGCAAAAGTTGACACAATCGACCTACTAAACTGATTAGTTGGCTGGTTGATGATAATGGTGATAGGTCGAACGATCCATTTTCATTTTTGAAAATCGATTGTGTCAATTTCGACATTGGTTTTAACCTAAAAACCGATCCGACAAACCGACGTAAAACCCTATGAGGTATATAGTTATTACTTTATATTAGTTGGATGATCAAATTTTCTATTTACTTCATTTGGGTTGGGCCTCTATTTCTTTTGTTAGATTTGCAAGTAAAAAGCGGCGGTTTTAGTGCGTGAACCTAATCATAGCTAAAAAGTCTATCACATGGGTAACCGGCCTCTTCTCAAAGATATAACCATAAATTTTGAATCAAATAAAATAATATTATAAAAAAAGGTTAAATTAAAAGTTTATCTTTTACCTTTTAGGAATGCGTCTATTTATTTCTTATACTATGTTCATGAATTTTTTATTTTTTTTAAATCATGGTTCATGAACTTCTAACAATGTGTCGATGTTATCTTTGTATTAGAAAGTAGTTTCTAATGTAAACTTCAAATTTTTAAATTTTATGACCTATCTAGTAGGTCGTTGTTGTTAACCCTGTTAGTTTGATCTGAGCAAAACTCAACTAATAAAGACATGTATCATCGATCAAAAGATCGAAGGTTCAAATCCCTACCCCGATTTTGTTGAACTAAAAAAAATGGGTATACAACATGCCATTATTTAATGATTAAATGTCTAAGTATTTATCTCTATATTATTAAGTTTTTGGGTATGATAGGTCTTATCCATGTATTATGTAAACAAAAGTTATTAGAAACTTATTAGTGACTAAATGAATAACCCTATAAATTTAGGAAACATATTAGAAGTATTGGGTAAGGAAATACCCTACGTGAACACGAATCAGACCTTATGTGATGTCTTATCGAGCTTAGATGGTCAAAATGTTGAGCTAGGTGAAACTGAACACAAGATACTAACTCGAATAAGGGTGTTTTATATCTCCTTCACTTGCGAATGTCATGCCTTAACAAAGTACTCAATCCAGATATGTTGTCAAGTTGTGGCCTCTAACTTGGGATATGCTTGACACCAGACACTAGCATCCCGACACGAATTGATCAAGCAACAGAGTTGCCTCCTCGAACTCTCCATAAACAGCAAAACCTACCTCATATCCAAATACGCGACTTTATACTTATTTAGCTCAATTACTCATCAGAACATTGGTCAAGCACCATACAAATGTAGGTCATCCACCTCAATTCATCTACTTTCACCACGATTCAGATTTTAGCTGGCTCACGTACCATAATTTAACATCAACAACAAGCATTTTAAAATACATGAACTAAATAAACATAACCATCAACCAAAAAAAAAAGAAAACTATAGGCCAAGGAAATGCGTATTTTAGCATAATATTGTGTGTGTTGGCTTTGTCGGTAGTGCGTACGTTTAAGCGCAGCCGTGGCCGCTCCCCGTCGAGTCTCGCTTTCAAATCGCCGTCACTTTCACGAGATCTTCATCCACCCATCTGCACTGCAAACAGCCCAAGAAAGCGACCGTACCAGCCATGGGTGGAGCCCAAGCAATCAAGAGGATCCCTCGAATCAAGTTTCCCAAACGCCATCCCAACCCCTCTGGTCTGCATCCACCTTTTTCTTACTTTTCTTTCTTCTTCTTCTTCTTATTATTATGATGAATCGATGATCGTCCTCAAGGAAAACTAATCTTCTCTACCTGAATCGAAATCGCTAGGCTTTCTCCCTGTCGTTCCGTTCATGATTTTTGACTTGTTCTTCATGGATGATTTCTCTTTGGAAAATCCTTGACATGACCTGTATTTGTGGCTGTGGTTCTGTGTTCGTCCGTTTGGTTTTAATTTGATTGCTTAGAGTTGGGATTTTTTTTTTTAGTCTCTTGTGTGGGTAATGATTTCTATTTAAGTTCTAGCCTGTTTCAGCTTGATGATGGAGATCCTGATGCATTTATGTGGACCGCCATGGTGATTAAAGAATACAAGAGTGTGCTATTAATTTGTTATCTTCTAGCTATGCTGGCTTAACTTTGATTTTTCTACTTTTGGATAGCATTTTTAACCTGGATTTTGAAATCTAATGACACAGATGAGTAAAATAGAATGAAACTTAATTCAGAGAAGAGAGGGGAGAGAGAGAGAGAGAGATTGGGTTTTGTGAGAATTTCAATTTGATCCATAGGTTTCCTGATTCGAGGATGTTTGTATGAGAGGGAAATTGACTTTTATGCCTGTTTCCACTTCTATTAGTACCTCATTATCTAAGAACTGCATTTGGAATGCTTAGAATCAAGAACTCTTGTGAAATATTACCAATGATGGTTATTTAACATTTGAGAAATCCTTCTATATTTCTATGCCTGTTTCAGTCTGCCTCATCAATTCCGTAGTTGACATGAAACCTAACATTACCACCTCTTCGAAAAGAAAGGAACACCTAGTTGATGCATTAACATGTTTATTAATAGCCATTTTTTGGATGATCATAATTCATTAGTGAGTCGAAGTATCGTGTAATATCGGTCATTGGATTCTGCCTCGATAATACGTCTTCTCAAAGTTATCTACCACTTGTTTTATGAACATAGCAACTACTGAAGAAAGTTTTTTCAGGTTCTACTTCCCAGACTCCATCAAACCTTGGGGTCGATGATCAAGTTATCTTCTCAACTGGAAATGTTTTGAAAACTGTGGGAGGAAAAGCTTCCCTTCAGCCTAAGAGGACACCGATGTCTAACGAGGAGATTGAGGCTGTTTTGGTAATAGAACCTATTTCTCTTTGGTGGTTGTTCTTATCATTGCTGATTGATCTGTTGTTTCTTCTTATGCAATGTGCTTTAAGCTTTTAATTTGGACTTTTCTTATGACAAGAAAGGAAACAAAGTTATCATGAGATACACACCTAAGAATTTTACCTGGTCTAATTTGTGCTTTAATGAGTAATGTTGTTAAATTTGTTTGTGATTGAGAAAGTTGTGTTCAGCTTGTTATGATTTGTTTGTTCCTTGGATTCCATTTTGCTCTTTGAACTTTCCGGCTTGGCTTGTTTCATTCAGTTCCGTAAACTTTCAAAAAGTCCATTTTAGTCATAAAAAAAATAATTATTTTGGTTCTTAAACTTTTAAAATGCCTATTTTAATTCATGAACTTTCAAAAAGTAACCATTTCAGTCCTATATGATTTTGACACCTAATGCGCGTCTTCAACATATTCGGTTTGAATACATACATTAATATGTTTACGTTATATACATTCTCAAAACCATGTTATTAAAAAGTAAAATAAAGGTAGACTAAAGTGGTTATTTTGTTCATGCTTAGACTAAAATAGATATTTTGAAAGTTCAGGAATTAAAATGGGACAAACTTAAAAGTTCAAGGATAAAATGAATATTTCGAAAGTCTAGAGACTGAAATGGAACCAATCAAAGTTCAAAGATCAAAATGGGATTTAAATCAGGATCGGAGATTTCTTTGTTTTGTTTTTTTTACTTTTAGCCTGGCAATATACATTGGCTGCATCTTTGCGTATAATCCACCCATTAGTTAATGAATCATTTATTTTGTGTTTGCTTTTTGTTGGATATTTTTACTCACATTTCTACACCTTACTTGCAGCTGGGTGGGTGCATCTGATGGTGAGCCTTCAAAGGAAAGACCATAAGGTTGTGGACATTTTTTTCTCATGTCTAAAAGTTTTAGTTTCCTGTATTAAGAACTTATATCATATGTAAAAGGAATGCTTAAGCTAAACTTTCCTTAATAAGAGGAAACTTTGACAATTCATTCCGATGAAATGGAACTTTGAAGATCCAATTTTACTATACTCTTTTGGTGTTTATCAAATAGTTCTGTCCCTGCCCCTATTTCATTCTCCGTTCTTGCGAAATTTTGTGGGGATCAGGGTAAGATTTCAAATTATCAAATTATAAGTCTCAAGGATTTTCCTCCTCGTTTGGAACGTGTCCTTGTAGGAAAAATTTGATATTGATGGATTTTTTTAAAATAAATGTAGAATTATTTTCATTTTGGAAGAATTTCATGTTATCGAATTTTTAAAATTTAACTATAATATTAGAATTAAGATGAAGGGAGATACGATATATGAAATAATAGAAAATAGAAGATCATAGTTATATACGATCAATATTATAATCACATTGACATATTCTTTAACATGATAGAAATCATAGATCAACACGGGGACGAAGAAAAAGATATTTCGTTACTGCAAATATATATTATTGAAATAATACAATGTATTTGGATATTTTCCTTCTACTCTACAAAATTTTATTTGTTATTTTGAATTAATAATCGAATGGAATTCTTCCCATAGAAAATAAATTATGGGAGTGTGTGGCTCGAACCATTTAATGTCTTTTTATCCGTCATAGTGTAATTCACAACCACTGTAAAAGTTTCCTACAGAAGTAAGTTGGTTCGTTTGAAAATAATTTTTTAATATTTTTTACTTTTTTAACTAACTGCAGAGACGTCCAATAAAATTTAATTGAGCGGAGACGATGGTAAAAATTTTAAACAATCTAAGGATAAATTTGAAATTAGGTTATACATAATGATATTTAATATTAAGCGAATTTCGAAATACGAAAAAGAAAAAAGAAATGGAAATCCCAATCTAATCCAATAATCAGAATGCTAATTGGAGAGGGCAAAAAGGTCCTTTTCCCACGAGGATCATCATTATTCATTAAGCAAAAACAGAAACAACTACTGTACCGAACACAAGAATCTCTCCATTGATGGGTCAAACCACATTCTGTGAACTACATCTCCTCTCTCGCGAACAGGTTCGTTCCAACTTCCATCTTCTTTCCCCCATCCCTTTTTTTTTTTTTCGTTTTTTCTGTGTCGAATTAGTAGTAATTGCCCCAAAATCCACGGAAATTTTTGTAGCAATCGTCTGTTGCTTGCTGGAAATCAACTGCTGAAGCACCGCGGATTCGAGCTCGGTAATGGAAATTGTTGCTTTTTCTGGATTTCTTTTCATAGAGAATTCGTGGAGGTTTCTGGGTTGTTTTGGGTTTTTTAAGATTAAGGGCAATCATAAGTTATTGTGCGATTAGTATGTAGTTTCCAAGCTTTTTGAGAATAAAAAGAAAAAATAAACAGATTTACAAATAAGGAAATAGATCAATTAGTAAGCATAAATTTCTTTCTGGGTTTTAGTTTCTTTCAGATTTTATAGGAATACTATTTGCTGATTCATGTTTGACTTCAGGAATTTCTAGACTTGCAGCCCTATGCATACTTTTTGTTTTTTTAACCTAATTTAGATTTTTAGAGAAATGTTTCACTGGTGTTTCTGTTGTTGATTGGTCTTCCCCCTCATTCTCTAGTGATATGGACGATGAATTCTTAATTTCTTATTTGCACTTTTATCCTCTCTTTAGTTGTGCAGCTGCTGGAAGTTAGAGACTAGAGTCAGCTTCATGGATGATACTTCCAGGAGGATAAAGTTTATACCAGATCACTTTCAAGTTTCTCCATCCAATTCAGACAGTTCTGAGAATACAACCTCGTCTTCATCCATACAATGCCCGAGAGTAGACGACTCATCGAGGTACTTGTTGCCGGCTTAGAGATAGGAGTGAAATCAAGAAAGAAGAGAGGACTAGCTCATTTGGTTATTGTTCTTGATCTGGTGTAGAATAGGTCACACAGTCATTCTTGGACTCGTCGAAAAATGAGAAGTGCTACATTCATGTTGAACTTGTTTAGTCTTCGGGGATTGCCGTGGGGTTCGAGCAGTGATGGTCAAGAAAAGGTATTTAGTTATACAGATTCGTGATGTTATTTGATTGACTTTCTCGTACTTTTGCTGAAATGGATCTTCAAATTGCAGGTTGTGCTGACTGCTGTGGAGGTCGCGTCATTGCGGTCGGAGATTGCCGATCTAGAAGAGCGGGAAGCTCATCTAAAAGCTCAGTAAGGAAATCCTTATGCTTGACGACAATGAAACTCAACTAATGATCCTTTTAACTCTTGAAAAAAATTATTGATATGCCTTCAAAACTTGTTTTCCTTCCTAAAGTAATCCTATTCCTATGTACTTGATTCTTGGTTTCTAGTGGTAAGGATCAAAGAGAATTTGTAGAAAACTTTTAGTCTTCAATATTTACTTTCTTAAAGATCTTTCTTTTGAACAGGTTGGAACATGTTGATGAAATTTTGCGGTCTGCTCGTCTGTCGGGCTATTTGTACATTCGAACTGTATTGACTTTCCCATATCATCTTTTAATCCTTTGAATGTTTACTCTTTATTGTAAATTTGTTGTGCAATAAAATGGCTTTTTTGTGTTGTAGAGGTGGGCAGCCCTACCAGGAGAACCTCTGCCTATTGATGATACTGATGTTGACGATTGGCTTCCCCGCTTCGTTGTCCTACATGGAGGTTGTATATACTTCTACTTATCATCTACAGGTATTTCACTTCCTAACTGATAAATCCTTTATGTTTCGTGCATGAAATCTGGGATCGTCTCTTGGACACCTCTAGTTAATACCATCTAATGGCAACATATCATCTACATTTTTCTGGAATGAACATATAGTTGTTTAGATCGCTATAGTATACCAAATTTTAGCTACCCATCTCAAACAATAAGGACCAAAAAACACGGTACGTAATGTTATGTAATGTTTCAATGGATAAACCTGAATAAACATGTAATGTACTGGACTCGAATACAAGTGAACTTTTACTGGTGAAGTTACTGATATTGGATATGCAGGAATGCTAGCGAAGAAGGTTAATTTTGATCGTCTTTCCATCTTTGTTCTTCTCGTTCTTCATTTTTCTAAATTTATTCAGTTTCTTTCCTCTCTTAAGATTCCAAAAAATATGTGGGTTTTGAATTTTCTCCTCTTAATGGTTACTTTTACTACTAGTACTACACTTATCATTCGAAACATAATCCTTGTTAAAATTTGGAATGGTCAACTTACTTCGATCAAGTGTAAGCCTTCTTTACTCCGTTTGCTAATGAAATTGAACAATTTATGGTCAGATATTAGCCCGCAGGATTCTGCCCTTCTAGCAGACATTGTTGAAGTAGATTCTCTGCCAAGCATTACACGCGAAGACGAAGGAGATGTAAGATACGCGTTCTACGTTTCAACTCGTCACGGGCTGCGATATGAGTGCTCGAGTATTTCTAAGATTCAGGTACTTTCCAATTGGCTTTGTAGCCTTTTTGCTTGAACTGAACATTAACATTACAAATTAGGAGAGGTTAAGTTGTGGTCATTGGTTTGAGATCTTCAAACCCTTTCATTTCTTTTGTCAGGTAGACTCTTGGTTGTTGGCTTTACAAAGTGATTGCAAGTTGGGATGTGGAAATGGAACTTCTGGTTCCAATAACCAAAGTTGATGTATAGTAATTAAGAAGAATCAACACATTTTTAGTAGAAAGCTGTACATAAAGACTTTTCATTTATCATTCTAGGATAACTAGTTCATTGAAATATTCGAACTCCTTTTTTTTTTCTTTCTTTTTTTCATTTCTTTTTGTACATTAGCACCGTTTACCGAATGAATTTGCAACTTATCCTAAGTTTTAAGGAACGATTAAAATTTCCGTTAAGGATGAACAAAAAATTTCGGAAAACCGACTCGGTCATGAAGGGCCGGTTGACGTTGGTTTTCCAAAATAGAAAATGAATGAGTCGATGAAAAATGATTTCCAATTGCGACCATTTACTTGTTAAAACAAAAGCTCAAAGCTGTCTGCAGCAGTCTGCACTTGGTTGGTTTGGACGGTTTTCTATTTTACAAAATCGACTTTGATCGAATCCCTCAATAGACCGACTGGTCAATGTTGGTTTGGTTAGATTGATTTTTCGGAGTTTTTTTCTCACCTCTAGGATTTGGCCTAAATCGACCGACTGATAGTGCTACGATTAGTTAGTGTTACAAAGCCTTCCAAAACTGTCAAGTTCCAATCAATGAAAATGGACTTGTTGGTCAATGACCAACCTTGATTTGAGCTCAAAATCGACATCAATTGATTAAGGTGCACTCTTAATTTTTATGCGGTAAATGAAAAGATACGCATTTGTAAAATTTGAAGGATTAAATTTTGTTGTGCTACATTGAATTGTCAATCTCATCTTCAAACGAACCAAGTAGATATTGGGAAAATTTCTAACTAAGATCCAAGTAGATATTGGGAAAATTTCTAACATTAGTATAGTACCTATTCCTTTCATTCACATCTCGACACATCAAAGTAATATATTGTATTTATTTAATGAGAATACACTATTTTTAAATATTGCTTTTATAGCTAACAATAAATCGAGGTAATATGGAAAATTTTCACTACCTTTGTACTAGTTCGTTAGGATATTTTTCTAAAAGACAACCTAATTGGTTAAATATTTCTTATGTGTATTGCCATGTAAGCATAATGTAAATTAGAAAAATATTTTTGACATTACTAAAAATGTTAATATATTGTTTCCAAAGAAAATATATATCATTAATATTAGAAAAGTATTAACTAGAATAGGGAGATACAAGGCACTGCCGATTAATTTGGTTATTTCAATTTTTCCTTTTAAGAAAAGAACTCAATAATTTGGAAGAATAGCCCAGAAAAGGGCTAATTAAGATAAATGACTTTGCTTTCTAAAGGAAGAAGAGTTGCCTTTAATTTATTTTTCTTCATTCATGTAGTACTCTGTAATGTTTCTATTTCTTATTTTCTGTTCTCATTTCAAGTTTTTTATCTCAAGATTGTGGTAATAAATTTCTATCTTGTTTTTGACAAATTTTGAAAATAATAAAATATAGTTTCTTGTTATTTAAAAACACAAATAAAATTGTTTTTATTTAATTTTTTTGTTCAATTATTTTATCCTCTCTTACTAATAAAAAAATTTATTATAACATAATAGTTTTCATATTCATTATTATGTTTCACAAAGACTTGATATAGTCTTTAGAAAAATTTTATTAACATTTTAAAAAATGTTTTATGTTTTTCTAAATATGTATTCTTTTTGTACATTTACTCTTAATATATACACACATATATATAAAATATTGAACTCCGTTTACCTTATATTTGGAATCAACCTTTTCCTACTCGTCTTTTCTTCTCGACAGTGTTTCCAATTTTACTCATTAAGAAAAGAGAAACAAAGTCTTTTTTCTTAAATAATATTAGGTTTAAATATTATTTTGGTCCTTGTACTTAATTATTTTTTTCATTTTAGTCCTTATACTTTGAAAACATCAATTTTAGTCTATAAGCTTTCAACTTTTATTTATTTTAGTCCATATTTTCAAAAAGTTCATTTTGGTTAATGTACTTAAAAGGTAACTATTTTGGTCACTTCATTTTCATTTTTATCTCATTTATTTCTATCATAATTTTAACATGACACTTTATTCACTGTGGCCATAAATTTGTATTACATGATTTTCGTTACGTACAAAATTTTGCAAATAGTTACCAAATTGGTCATCTTTAAAAAATACAAATATCAAAATAAACGTTTAGAAAAGTGACTAAAACAAACCAAAATTGAAAGTAAATTTTGTTTTCCAACTCGAATTTGAAAGACCACGCTTTAAAAATTTTAGGGAAAACAAGGGATAAAGAGAAAATATTGATAACGTAGTGGAAGAAAAACTTATGATTAAAAATAAAGTCTACATTCCAACTCCAAGGGGGAAAAAAACAAGTGTAAAACACTGCCCCAATGGAGATTGGCTTATTGATATCCATTGATGCAAAAGAGAGAGATGCAATCTGAGAGGGCAATCGCAAAAATGGAAATGGGAAAATATGAAAAGGAATAACAAGTTTGGGGTCTTCTCATTTGTTGGGGGCTGAAGCTTCATAGCCATAAGGGTTTTTGCTGGCCCAGTTCCACTGATCTCTGCACATTTCTTTAATTCCATATTTTGCCCTACAACACACACATCAAACAATGAGTTTATTGATTAACAACAGCTAAAAATGAGATTATGATTAGGGTTCTTATCTTACTTCCACTTCAGCTCCTTCTCCGCTTTCTCTGTTTCTGCATATACGATTTCGGCATCTCCGGGCCGTCGATCCGCCATTACAAGAGAAATTTTCTGCAAACAGAATAGGCCTCATTCCATATAAATTCAAAAGCATTCCATATAAATTCAAAAGCTTGAACTGATGGGTTAGGTTAGTAATGCTAATCGTTTTTCTTGACACTCCCTCTCACGTGTGGGTTCTAACATTAATTTGATTTGCAAAGTCGAGACATGAACTAGAGAAAAGAAATGTCACTGCCGAGCGCTTTGATATCACATTATACTAATCTACTCTTTGGATATGAAGGAAAAGATTTTACCTTTCCAGATGCATTTTCAAAAGCTGCAACCATCTCCAAAACTGAAGTACCCTTTCCAGTTCCCAAGTTGTAAACCTCACAGCCTGTGGATTAATATATCCACCAGTCTTATAATTCTCTCGATGAAAATAATGATATGAGATTGTGAAATGGCCAAAAGCAAACCCTTTATACCTATTTTGGGATCATCCACTTTCCGCAATGCAGCAATATGCCCATCAGCCAAATCAACAACATGAATGTAGTCACGAACCTAAAACAAGAGACAACAACCACCAACCTTTAATTATCAAATATAGGAGTAGGAAAAGGGAAAATGAACTTTTTTTTTTTAAAAGACGTACCCCTGTTCCATCTTTGGTTGAGTAGTCGGTTCCAAAAACTGTAAGGGCTGGGCGCCTCCCAACAGCAACTTGTTGCACAAAAGGCATCAGATTGTTGGGAATTCCACGGGGATCTTCACCAATGTCTCCACTAGGATGTGCGCCTACTGGGTTGAAGTATCTAAGCAATATGATTTTCCATTCCGAATCTGATCGGTATATATCGCGGCAAATTTCTTCTATGAAAAGCTGAAACGAAAATGGCATATTGGGTCATTTCATGGAAAAAACATCTATATGAAAAATGCTAATCCAGAACTGTTGACTCTCCAAGCAGGTTTTGTATATTAAAAACAAAATTTTGTTTCGAGAAAACTCAGAGAGTTTCTTGAGAGCATCTATAAAGTTCCATGCCGATTCTTTGCACCTTAGTTCGTCCATATGGGTTTGTTGCAGACAAAGGGAACTCTTCAGTGCAAGGGACTTTCTTTGGCCACCCATAGACAGTGGCAGATGATGAAAACACAAGCTGACAAAGAGAAAATTTTGAAAGACAAGTTAGGTTTGCATCATATCAAAATTTGTAAGATCTCAAGGGATCAATGGGAATTCCCAGGTATCACAATAAAGTTCTTATTATGGCTCGTCAGTAATTAAATTATATGATTTGGTATTTAAGTAAGATGCAAGAGAACCTTTTTGCATCCATGGGAAGCCATGACTTCCAAGAGAACTATTGTTCCAATTAAGTTGTTATCGTAGTATAGCAGTGGCTTTTGGACACTTTCACCAACTGCTTTAAGTCCAGCAAAGTGTATGACAGCATCGAATCTGCAAAAACAATTGGAATTCCAAAAAAGTTAGAGAATGCAAAAAGAGAAAAAAGAAAAAAAGGTATGCTTTTTTTCGGAAAGCACAAAGCTTCATCTTCATCCATTGAGAGAGACGGGGGAGAAGGGTGGTGCTGAAAATAATGGGCCAAATTATGAAACTATTCCATTTTATCAAAAACCCAGAAATTTCTTGCACCCTCCCCTCAGGACTCATTGACATTGAAATTACCCTCAACAATTAGTGAATTATAAAAATGCAGGGACACACAAAAACAATACCTCAGCTAATTTTTGAAATTTGAAATACAATTTTTAGATTCTTTTTCCTTCTAAAAAGCTTAAGGAATGTTTTAAAATATAAAATATATATCCATTGACAGACTACTTATTTTCTGAAAACCAAAAAACATTCCATAAAAAGCCTTCAATTCAGTAGAGGCCATCTGGCGATGTGCGCCTGCTGATAAAGAACTGAACCCAACGTTGTGGCCATGGCACGGGTGCCCTTTCGCCAATGTTTTTCATTAAAAATAGAAGTTAAAATCTAATTTTAAAAAAATTATTTTAGTCGTTAAAAAATTAATATATATATATTTTCTTTTATAGTGAATAAAACTTAGATGCTTACGAATGGACCCGTTCTTCGCGTAAAGCGAGGGGATCCTTTCCGATAGGTTAAAAAACATGTGGCCGCACAAAGATGCTTTTAGTTTTTGTACGAAATCACAATAGGAAATAGAAAATTTTCTCCAAATAATGTTTGGAAGGTGAGAAAGTAAGTAGAGATCCTTACTGCGTGGAGGCGAAAACCTTCTCAAGAGCCGATTTATCCCGTAAATCAAGCTGCAAATGGAAAATCGCAACCACATCAACACCAGAAATCCTCATCGCATTGTAACTTTTGATCCAGAACTTTCCAGGAAAATGAAAAACAGACTCTGAATCCAATCCACATGTAAATGTTCGTTTCAAAGAGATCGCAAAATCACGAACAGGAATCAACAAAATCTCAAGATCGACGCAACAAATATGAGTTCCAGAGAACCAAATGGCAACAAACTAACACGATTCGCAAGCTTAACACATGAAATCGAACGATTAACCTAACGGAAGGGAAAAAAAAGAGGCGAAAGTAAGTGAGAAAACCTTGTGAAAGGTGAGATTCTTGCCCAAATCACCGGCCAGATCTCTGACTCTGCGAATAGCGATTTCGGAGGAGTTGTCCAAGTTGTCGACGACGACGGCGTTATAGCCGCCCAGAAGAAGCTGAAGAACGGTGTGGCTGCCGATGTACCCAGCTCCACCAGTGACCAAAATGCTCTTCGCCATGGCTGCTGCAACTTAGAGAGAGAAACAACTGAAGAAGAACAGAGTAGAAAATTAATATAAAAAATTGAGAGAAGAGGGGGCTTGGGAATGGGATCGGAAGAGGAAACAAGAATTGAATTTATAAATGTTGATGAGAAATTTATTGCAGAGAAGTTACCGATACTTTTACAGAGAAGACGACGATCCTGCAACCGCAACCGCGACTGGAAGCTAAAATTATTGCGTTTTTTGTTTCTGGAAGAGAATTGAAAAATGTGGATGGAGTGTTAAAATATCCCAGATTAAAAAATAATACAAGGTCATTTCTCAAACAATTTTAATATGTTATCCGATTCTAAAATTTAAAAAAAACTTGAATTGAGATATAACTCATGAATATTAATATGCTTTAAATTATATAAAATACTAAACTTTAAGATGGGTTGTAATAATACACTTAAATTTTTAAAAGTATATATTTACTTTTAAATTTTAAATTTATTTCAAATTACCCTTACGTCAAAATTTTTATTGTTAAAATGAAAACGGAAAATAACATAGTAGTGGTGACTTGTAAAATAATGGCACATGTGACATAGGTAACAAATTTTAATTTTGCCTCTAGACTTTAGAGTAAGTTTCAATTATATAATTTGCGTTTCAAAAGTTATTGTTTTAACTCTTAATCTTTGAAATTGTTTCAAAACAACTTCATTAGCTTCTCCATTAAAATGAATATGAAAATATGATGGGATAACTAATTGGAAAATAAAAGTTACACATTGGTTAGGCGTACGTTAGCAATGAGCTGTAAAACAGTCTAAGGGTTTTTAATCACATTCAAAATTGTCCCTAGAAGAGAAACAAATTTAGGAGATATAGTAGTTTTGGTTTGAAATGATGGGGCTTGGGAAGCCACATATTGTAAGAAAAACAAGTCATACATCGGTAAAAATCACAACCACTTTGACTCAAATACTAGAAAAGTCGAAGGACATAGAGAAATTGATAGTTCATGAGTAGAATACGCTACAAGAGAAAAAATGCGTAGAAGAGTGAGATCATTGAAATAGGCCTAGGTGTGGAAGCTAGGAGCATTTTATTGTTGTTTGAGATGGAATAATCAATGTGTTAAATTGTAAGTTTGTTTGTATGTTAAAAATTTTCAACGGGTCTATGAAATATGAACTTGAGGGTTGTGTTTATTCGGTCTCTATACTTTAGAAATATTATAATGAGCTCCTATACCTTCCATTTTTGCGTCTTAGATAATACAAATTTTCAATTTTGTATTTAATAGGTCACTACAACTATCTTTATAACTTTCATGCTTACAATACCAAAAGGCTAGATCTAGTCAAAATTATCCCATTACCAACATAACAAACTTTAAATAACATAGCATGTGTGTTACTTAACAATAAATTCGCATAATTGATACCATCGTAAGTTTAGTTTAGTGGTAATTGGCACATATCTCTACGAATCCCTCACCTATTTCTTGTACTAAAAAAAGCATAATTAATGACAATGATCTATTACTTACAAACTTAAAAGTTCAATAACCTAGAAAACAAAACTTTTAAAAGTATGTCAAAGTGAGCATAGTTCAGCGGTAATTGATATATACCTCCAACCAAGCAGTTATGAGTTCGAATCCCCCCAAAATGTAAAAAAAAAACTAGTAAGGATTGGATTTGAAATTTTTTAAAACTTAAAAATGATGGTTAATGATCTCATATTAAAAAGATAAGAGACCTAACAAATGTTTATAATAGACATGAATTACTTCTCTTATTCCTAATTGATTTTGAGATATAACTCATGAATATTGATTGATAAGGACTACCATAGATTTTTTTTACCTTATAAGACCAAATTAGAAATGAAAATAAACTTTAGAACAAAAGTCTATATTTTCATGAATTTAATTTTAAGATGGGTAAAATTCAAAGATCAAAATTAAAGTTTTTGGAACTTTAGAGATGGAAATAGAAAATAATAAAAATTCAGGACCCAAATAATAACATTCACAAATCTCACAAGCCTTTTCATTTTTAAATTACTTAAAGATAATAATTCAACCATTGTCTTTTTGCAGTTTACACTATTATATTGCATACGACGTTGAATTCCTTAAAAAAGTTTTTTTTGGTTGAAATACTACCCTCATTTTCTGGTTCTGTCCTTTAAAAAATTGACTATTTTGACTCTTATCTCCGAAATTCGCAGAATGACCGATGAAACCAACTGAATCCACTCTCGTGACATGATCGAAGTTCGATCCACCACTTTGAGGAAAGAGATGAGACGGTTTTTTAATTCTTGAAATGTAGCAATAAATTTGTATTAAATAATTTTTTGTGAATTTTTCAAATAAGGACCAAAGTGGTCAAATTTTTTGTGTAACTTTTTGGTAAGGGTTTAATTATGAGGAATTTCCAAAGGTCAAAAAGAGAAGCTTAATCATATTTGAAGAGAAGCACTTGATTTTTGCCTTTGAGTGAATTAGACACAACAAATTCACCTAATTTCCTCACTCCCCAAGAGGCAACATGACATTGCTAGGTCCCTCCATGTGGTAGTGCATGCCTTTCTTTCCAACCCAATTTCACATTAATAATGCCTTCTTCTTCTTCTTCGTTTTTTTTTTTTTGATTTCAAATAATATGGTGTGAGGATATCGACCTTTGATCTTTAAGAGTAATTCGTACAATGGTTGGAACGTTAATACATATCTAGATGGAAGAATGGCCAGAAACTTTGGAGGAAGCGTGACATAAGAGAGTGTGCACTCTTTTCTTTAATGTGCTGGTTATATTATATATATAATGTCTTAACTAGTTGAACTATGTTTAGATTAGTTAGTCCATTCTATTTAAATTTTATTTCATATTTCAAATATAGTTAAATGTTTGTGCGCCATTTACTTTATATATATATAGTAAATTATAAATTTGGTCTCAAAACTTTCAAGCATGCATCTATAATCATTGTTCTATAAACTTGTCAAATAGGTCCAAAATGTTATGTCCTATTTGATTCTGTAAGTTTTTAATTGGTTCATAAACTTTTAATTTTGTGTTTAATAGATTCCCGCGTGTTACCCTATTAAATTAAACAATTATGCTTCACATGTCTGTAACCTATTCAAAATAATCATATGTCATATAATCCTTAAATAATATAATTAATGTGTTGCAAAAGAATTAAACTAATTGAATTAATGACAGTGACCTATTAAATACAAAACAAAATTAAAATTTTAGAAATTTGTACCAAACTTGTTAAGGTACAAGGAAGGGACCCAAATTGATGTGACCATAAAAGCTTAGGACACAACCCTAAAAATTAAGTGACTATTCAACTTTTTAATTTAACATTTTTTCCAAACAAAAAATTTCAGAGAGTAAATCATATATTTATGTCCCAATAAATATATATTGAGTATGACGTATTATTTGGTTCTTAAATTTCAAAAAGTTCCTAAACTTTTAAATATTGACAGCTTACTACATATAATTTAGATGAAGTTAAGTAAGTTGATGACTAGTTGAAATGGTTAGAAATAAATGAACATAGAGAATATATGAGCTCAAAATATTGACGTATCTACTAAGTTAGGTTCGAATTAATCATTCTGAATTAATAAATAAAATGATTTTTGAGCATTATTTTTCTTAGTTCAACAACAAACATGGGGTAATATTTAAACTTTCAATATTTTCTGAGCGAGAATTTATGTCTTAACTAATTAAATTATCACACATTACAAAATGATCTTGGATCTTTTTACAATTGAATAGAGAGTTAATTTTTTTTTTTTTATATAAGAATGCATCGGTGAATGATGAACTTAAATTAACCTTGATTAATTATTGTTGTATAGTTTCTTGATAAGATAAATTTATAATAATTTATCTGTCAGAGTTTCACAGAGCATGTGACTCTAGTCTCTACATAATAACCCATTTTTTAATCTCTAATTAAAATATTAATTATGATTAACTTAACAATCTAGAGTATCAAAATCTTATATTCTCAAATTTCTTGGCGTCATATCAACAACTGATCACTCTTCTCTATGATAATATTATATACATATAGATTATAGACTGCCTAAATACATATATGACTGATGTAAGATTCTTTTTCTAATTTCAAAATTTGTCCCTATGTTTGAATATGAATAAGTGAAGTTATATATCTTTTAAACAAAGAAAATGTCACCAACGAAGTGTTCATGGGTTGGATTGCAGACGTTGGGACTACGGATACGTGCTCCTACTAATCTTAGATATATTATATACGTTTCACTAACATGTAACTTCTGGTGGGATGGTTCATGTGGGCATTCATAGTAACAAATTAATATAAATGAGTCCAACTCTTTTAAATAGCCAATATTGTTATGTAAATATATATTTTTTTAATTTCTTATCTATTGTGCAGCCATGTCACCTAAATTTTTAATTTTTTTTTTTGGATTTTTAGTTTCAAATTATAGTTGTGAAATTTATGCTTGGGGTTTCTAATATTTTCTATTACTATTAGTGTAGGAGAAATATTATAAAATAAAAACATCATCGTTGTTAATTTTATCCAAGATACTTTTCCATTATTGAACTTTTTGTCCCTTAATGATCAACTTTAAAATTATATATATATATATATATATATAATTTTTTTTAATACAACATGTCGGGGTGGGAATCGAACTCACAACTTCTTGGTTTGACGTACATGTCAATTACTACTGAACTATGCTTGATTTGACTTTAAAATTATATTATTGATGGGCGTTCAAATATTTTATTTGGTGAACTAAAAACATTAGCCATCAGGTAGGTAATGAAAATGATCATGACGAGTAGAAATAAGATATATCCATTATATTAGTTTATCAATTACTCACACATTAGCATTAATGTTACAGACACATAAAAAACATTAATTTTATCGGTAGCTATATAGCCATCGTAGGGAGAACATTTGTTTGGCATGAATATTATCATTTCAGAATATGAAAACTTTTTTAATCTTTATTATAACTAGAAGGATGTTGATAAACCAAAATCATAGGACAAAAATCTTTGGATAACTTGGTGGATTAGGGACAATGGTCAAGCGTGATCCAATGGGCGTCTTTCTTCTCCACCTTCCACTTGTTTGACCAAAATGGGATGCCTCCATTAATGGCTACCTCTGGCTGACCTGCGTAAAGAGAGATCAGAAGTACTAGAGATCTGAGAGAAATGAAGAGCTAACACAAATGGCTGTTTCATCAAACAATTCTTCACACAAACTTCTCCTAATTTCACTCTTCTGCCTCGCATTCATCCTCCGATTCGACCCGAAAGTCATCGCCGATGAAACTACTGTTCCTCCGAGTTCCTGCAACCCCAATCTCAATGCGATTCTCCCTCCTCCATATTCCGATCTCTCCAGCCTCAGCTGCTCCATCATTTGGAACCAGATGTTTTCCTTCAGTGTAACTCTCTCCATCCATCTTTATATATCTTCGTTTTCCCCGATTTGTCTCCTTCCCTGTACTCGTTAAAATAGTGATTTAATTTAGTTCACGAACTTTAGTTTAAATTGGTAACAATTTAAGTCTTTGAACTTTATTAGGTAAAATTTAGTCATTTGTAATTTAAAATTTGTAACAATTTAGTTTATACCGTGAAAATTTACATCAAAATTAAATGTCAATTTTTATCCTATGACAATTTAAGGACTATTGATTTATCGATCTACGTATATAAAAACTTTAAAAAAATCGTGATAGAGACTAATTAATTGTTACGTATGAAAATTTAAGAACCAAATTTATTTCATACAGTGATATCTGAGATTTACGAGTATATAAAATTTGTTATTTGACATGAAAATTTTGAAGTCTTAGATCATGATAATCTAAACAAATATATATATTAATCTTGAAAATACATTAAAAACATAACACGTTTTCTGACATTAACAATTTAAATTTATTTTTTGAATTAAAAGCATCGAGAGATATCTTGTGAAGATGTAATTGATTGTCCAAGTTATATAAAAAAGGGGCAAGTATACTTTTCTAAATGCATATATTATACTTACAATATATTGTTTCAAACTAGATCATCAAACAACAGCCTCTCGATTAGAGAAGCCATGTTCGCTTTATGTATTAAGTAGATCATCATCAATATTGTCTAAGTTAGAATATCAACATGGAATCCAAATTTTGTGTGGAAAATTAGGAAAATTAAAAAAGTAAAGCAAGCATCTGAGTGTGACATTTGAATCGGAATTGTGTTATTTGGGGTTTGCAGTTTTTCCAGGACTTTAAAAACGTGACGACGATCGTGTTATCAGGGAGGCACGATCACAGATGGATCGGAATCGCGTTCTCCCGCGACGGGAAGATGGTGGGATCGAGCGCGATGGTGGCGTGGGTGGACAGAGACGGCGTCACCGGAATCCGGCAGTACCATTTGGAAGGCAAAAACATCACCC